GGATTTTGGGACCTTCCATCTCTTTTTCAGGATGGGATACTAGTCCAACAAGACCCGTGTAAGATCTGGGGGTCTTCCTGGACTCACTGCTCCTGTTTGAAGAATAGTAGCAACTGTGGTCAGGACAACCCTTGTATGTGTCCATTCACTACTGTATTCCTAGACCAAGAGGCTCTGCTGACTGTCATTCATGTCTCATATGGATTACTGCAATGCATTCTACAAGGATCTGGCCTTGAAGACTATTCAGAAGCTACAATTGGTTCAAAATGCAGCCATGTGACAGTTATATGTGCTCCATGATCTGCACACATTATACCTTTTTGCTCCAGGAGCTGCATTGGCTGCCAGTTTGTTTCTGAGTTTAATTCAGTAACTGTAATGATCTTTAAAGTCCCACATGGCATGGGACCAGGTTACTTGAGGGACTGCCTCAATCCAATTACACTTACCCATCCCATCAAGTCTGGCAGGAAAGGCATATTTGGGTACCATCAGTCAAAGAGTGTTGTCTGGTGGACTCGGGAAGCGCGCTGATTCTGCTGTGCCACCTGCTTTGTGGAACATGATTCCCTGGAGATGAGATTGGCCTTGAGCCTGCCGTTTTATTGTAAGGCTCTGAAGACAAGGTTTTACCAACAGGAGTGTAATGGAGTCGGTACAGTGGTTGTATTGATTGTTTTAAAGAATGGGTTTATCTTAGCTGTTTTATAGATTTTATTATGTTTTAATATGCTTTTATATTTTTTCCTCATTTTTAAATTGTATTGTTCTTTTTGTTGCTTTCATTTTTGTTTCAATTTTTTGTAAGTTGTTCAGAAACCTATATATGAGGTAGGTGGCTATATAAATTTAGGTAATATATAAACTGATGCACACCTAAATGGTTTAAGAACAGTTCCTTTACTTTGAGAATAAAAAGGGTATTGATATATGAAATTATATAAATGAAAAAGAATAGAAATTATAGTATATAATCCTATATTTCTCTGCATAATTAATGTACATCTCATTTTTTCAGTCTCAGTACTAGAGGTTTCCAAAGGAAAGAAAAACAAAAATTTGATTTTGTATTGCTAGAAGAGAGGATGCAATTAGCAACTAATCTTGCTTTCCCCACTGATTTTTGGGATAATTAATCAAAAAAGTGTTGAGAGTGTACAACAAACACATAGAAGATTACCAAATTACTTTCAGCTACACAAATTCTTCTCCCTTTCTATAGTTTTACATATGCCTAGATTAAGGGGAAAAACTCAAGTCTTTCCACAAAAAAAAAATTATGCATAATATTTGGTAGGAAAAATGTCACAATAATTATCTCACCTTCTCATATATAAGTTTGTTACAATACATCTTATTTATACTGCATGTATGTTTAGTAAATACTACACTTTAAGATCATTAATGTTTTCTCAAAAATTGCAAGTAGCTCTGTAAAATAAAACAAGTAACAAAAACAAAAATACTATCGTTACATTTACAATTCAAAAATATTATACCAGAATAAATTTGCAAAAATATTACATTTGTATTGATTTTATGGAAAGTTATCCCTGCCCTGAACTATAACAGTTAAAATAATATCTCTTCATTCTGCAATGCATTTTCCAATTCCCACAAATCAACATAGACTCAGCAAAGCTTAAATTGTGTTTAGCTTATTTATGTCCATGAATTCTCTTACAAAAAAGTATAACTCGTGCCAGTGGAATCACAAGCTGAAATGGAGAACCGGGAACAAGAAAAAGTTGGTTTCACCACCATCATTTACAAAGAAAAAAAGTCTCAAATGTAAATGTTATCCCAATTCAATTTTTTTTAAAAAAAGCAAAGAACCTCTTCCTACCCTTAATCATACATTTTTAAAGGGTTTTAAGAAGCTTCCATCATCTAGTGTTTTTGGAATACAGCAAACTTTGGCATGTGATTAAATTGTGGCAGGCACCTGCCAATTTTTGTTCACCATAATTCAACATTTGACCGACTGTTACATGTATCTCTATCAAATTAAAAAAAATGACTTGTGTAGAAAAATCTGGAAGAAAATGACAACTTGAGCTGGATGCAGACATGCTTTTATAGAACTAAATTATAGAATTACTGTGTTTTCCCTTTTCATTCTTCAGAGAAACCTAGAATTAAGAATATAATTATAACTACAAAACAGGCTAAGAATTTCAACTAATATGCTCTGAGTAATCTTGAGCTATGGGTTCGGAAGCCTTTTGATGACAGAGATGCTCCACTTTTTGACTCCAGACTATGTGACACTTCTCCATGAAGAAGTGGTTTATAACTTGAGGAATCCTCTGGGCTCAGAGGACCAACCTGAAAAGCAGGTGGCAATTGTGGCTTGGGAAAATCATCTTCTTCTGCTCCAGTTAGAGCCTTTCCTATATGAGGAGCTCTGCTTATAGCCACAAACAATTTAATCAGCTCTTGCTAGGATTACTGCTACTAAGCTCTTAAAAGAACCTTACCTAGTCTCAAATGCAATGCCCTCATCAAGTGATGGGAGCTTCTACATCATCTTAGGGAACATAGGGACAAGCCCCCTCATCCACTTTCTTCCTTTTGGTGGAATACAGTTTCCCCTAATATCATGCTTGTTCCCATTCTAAGCCAAAATATGAAATCCAGACTTTTGATTAGTGCATTCTGTGAGCTCAGCCAGTCTTGTTTGTGAATGATGGCTCCAGATTAGCATTATATACATCATATATCCTTGGGTACAACAGCACCTGAGATCCAGATTGTTGTCACTAAACACTGTAGTTGTAAAGCAAGGTATCACATGGCTTAGCAAGGGCAATCCAGGCAGTCCCAGTTGTCATTCTAACTCCAGGACACATTAAGTGGGAAAGAAAGGGAATCCCAGGCAAGGAGTCCCCCTTCCCCCTTTGCAACAGGGATGCGGGGGAGGCCTTGGGAGGCCCAGCACAGGCTATGTGCAAATTGGGGGTGGGGGTGATGCAGTTTAGCACAGGTTCAGGAAGCCTGGGGTAAGAAAATGTGGGCTGCATGTGTTCATGTGTGGAAATGCAGGGGGAGCCCAGAAAATAGGGCACCGGATGCTTATGTGCAAGTGCAGGGAGGCCAAGGGTGACGGTGCTGGTGGATGCATGTATTTGTGCAAGTGGAGGAAGGCCCAAGGAAGGAGGATGCTGGTGGATGTATGTGCATGAAAAGAGAGCACTTGCAGGAAGCCAGCAGGGAAGGTCGGCAACAGCAATCATGTGACTGTCAATGCTGCAACTGGTCATAAGTGTGGGCTGGTTGCCAAGTATATGAATTTTGGTCATGTCACTGCGGGGGTACTGCAATAGCCAGAACTTTGAGAATAAGTTGTAAGTGTCTTTGTTCCAGGGGTGAGATTCTACCAGTTCACACCTATTTGCTAGAACTGTTGTTAACATTGTAAGCAGTTCGGAGAACCGGTTGTTAGAAGAAATTACTGGCCTAATCCTGTAAGGAAGGCAGGAAGGGAACATTCTGGTGTTGCTTACAGAAACTGCCTCTCTGTTAACCCTTATTACATTCTTGGCAGGACTAGACTTCCTGTCTCTGGAACTTCTCTGGAGTTTTTTTCCCCTCATTTGCTGGTACTTTGCTTGTGTGGAGTGTCCATTCAAAGTTACAATGGCACTGAAAAAAGTGACTTATGACCATTTTTCACACTTACGACTGTTGCAGCATCCCCACAGTCATGAGAGGCCAGGCGAGGAGATGCGTGCCTCGATGTGAGTGATACTGAGTTGGCCACGCCCAGCCAATAACATGACCACCAAGCCATGTCCACCCGGTCACATGGCCACCAAGCCATGCCCACCAACTAAGCCATGCCCACAGAACCGGTTGTTAAAAAATTTGAATCCCACCCCTGCTTTGTTCAGTGTCATCATAACTTCAAACGATCGCTGAACAAATGGTTGTAATTCAAGGACTACCTCTTAAGTTTGGAGTTGGATTTCATATTTATTCAAACACAATTAAGGAAATCATGGCTAGCACTACAACTGGATCCAGCCCCTTATTTATCTCTATTGAAAAAGAAAACACATTTCTAAATCAACAGCACTGACTTATTTCATCGGACGAGGACATTTCTTATTACAAAGAATTTCAAACAAGTTTTCTTAGATAGTAAAATAAGTGGAAGCAATCTGTTAGGGTACAGAATACAAGAATAAATAAAGTTTAAATTTACTGAAATAAAATGTAATATAACTTTGCTCAAATTAATACTCAGTACAGATGGATAGCTATCAGTTTGAGTGCACTCATGATCTACTGGTGGCCTATTCATCCTTATTTTGAGATTTGATAATATATTACTAACATCAAATTATTGCAAAAACAGTTCAAATTATGAAACAGAGATTAAATTCTCAAATTATTTTGAAAAAAAAAATAGAGCCAGCTTTTAGAAAATAATACTCAGTAAAACATACCTAAAACTCAGATTTAATTGATGTAACAGAGACCTCTAGTGGTAGGAACATGATTATACTATTTGTAATGTTAGAAGAAAAAAACTGTAACAAATATCTGGAGATTCTCAGTCATCCAGGTCATGTTTCTCCCAAAGGTGTTTTTTTCAAGAGGCAACTGGACTTTCTGGTTTTTCTTTGAAGATGTTTCGCTTCTCGTCCAAGATGCTTCCCCACATTCCCAAAGGCCCAGTCTACATTCTTTCATATTTGGGACTGAAATAAACCCAACATCCCTATAGATAACTGTTCACAAGCCAGAAACAGCACTTGCAACTCTTGGAGGGGGGGGGGGGGTAATTAAAGGCTCAAAATCCCTCTTCAAAAGCCACATTTAATATTTTTCCTAAAAAATTGGTTTCCCTGGACCATAGATTTCCATATACAAACAACAGAGATTTGTTCAACACGTTTTGTATCAATCTTATATATTACTATTGTATAATAATCAGATCATTATAAATGAGTTTGATTAAATGGATATGTGGACGTGATATGTACACTTACCTTGCACACAGTCTCTGCATCCCAAGGCAAAATCGTCTTCAAATCTATTATTTCACAGGAGACACCTAATTTTTCTTGTGCCATAACTGCTACTTCTTTTATAACATGAACCTAAGTATTAAGAGAAAGCAGGAAATAAACTTTAGATATCATGAATTTCAACAAGACCTTAGCCTCACTAATGTTCTGGTTCTAATCCTATCTATTTGGGTCTTATTTAATTTTCATCACTTTCGTTAGAAGAATATTCTAGAATATTTACATACACGCATAATGGAGGACCGAACGAAACATAAATATCTGTTGAAGTGATTGCTTCAAATAGCAACACTATCCAGATGAACACTCCAATAAAGTGATAATGGTAAAGTAAGTTTTAGGAAGTAATAGTAGGAACTAGTAAGAAATATTAGGGGGGTGTTCTTCCTCAAATCCTAACAAAACTTACTCACCTGAGTACCCCAAGCCACCAAAGTTACATCACTTCCATCCTGAAGCACTTCTGCTTGAGACAAAGGGATGGAGTAAGGCTCCACAGGGACTTGTTCCACTGAGTAAAAGGAAAGCAATGAAGTTTATAGTAGAGCAAAGATACGGAACTACAACTTCTAGCAGCTGCAATCAGCATGTGCGAAGTTGAAAGAATGCTCACAAAACCTGAAGGGACAGCATGTTCCCCATCCCTGTTGCAAGATGGCTAAATTCAGAGCCATAGCTATAATAGAACTCACTAGGAAAGTTCCATTCTGAAGAATCAGAAATCCAGAGGCAATGTATGAAGATAAAAGTTAATTCACTTGTGTCATTGTGCAATTTATTACCAGTTTGAAACTATGAGTGCAAAAAATAAAAAATAAATCCCAGGGATATAATTTAGGAATTTCCCTTGAATCAGAAAACTACTTCTAGTAGAACAGCATAAAATTTATTGAAAAACTTAACCACACTTAAAAGTTGGATGAAATCCAAGTTTTTTGGGGAAAGGAAGCAACAACTAAACCCACTACAAATTTAGCAGGCAAATAAATGCCTTTATAAACCAAAAAAAAACACCTGTTTGTGTTCACAATTATTCAAATATAGTGCAGTAATAACCAAACAAAAATATAGAAATAATCCAACAAGATCCCATTTTTGCAAGCATAATTGGCCATCTCTATGACTGTATTATAATTCAGCCTGAATAACAGGGTGTCGCAATAACAAGAAATTAAGTATATGCATCAGACTTCCGGTAGGAAGTTTCTTCGGCGACAGACAGAAATCCGTGATCGTGCACGGTTTCTGTCTGCGCTCGCCACTGGAGCGCCCCGAGCTGGCTGATTTTGGGGCTAAGCCACCCCGTAGAGGTGGTAAAGAGGGGGGAGACCGCCGGCAGGGTCGAGGAGAGTTGCATCTCTTCTCCCCAGCTGGCCATTACTCCCTTTCCCGAAGGCAGTTGCAGCGGTGGTCAGAAATGGCCACCACAAAAAAGAACTCGACCAGAAAAGAATGTACAGGAGGAAGATAAGAAGTGAAAGTTTTGGCTGACTGGGTTAAATTGTAAAAGCAACAACTAAGGTACCCTGGAATTTAAACTTTCAAAAAATAACATCGCTCCCAAAGAAGAGTCGGAAGCAGCGAAGGAAAGTGAAAAGGGAAAGGTTTGGCTTTTTTTTCTTCTCTCTCCTTCCCTATACTGACAACTGAGAGACTTAAATAAGAAATCGGAAAAATCTGCTTTGACATTAATAGGCAATTAAGCTGAAAATAAAACCAGATGCCAAAGGGATAATAAAGATTTCTGGACATTAAAAAATTTCTTTTTCATAAGCAGGAAGGGAGAGAAAAAGAATAAGGGCAGGATCTGGAAGAGGGAGGAGACTGCCTGGAATTAAAAAGAATCTACAGTAAAACTTCAACAAGACTTCTAAAAGATACATTTTAACTGAAACTTTGTAACTAAATAGTAACCCCAGGAAGAGAAAGTGAAAAAAAAGAGCAAAAAGAAACAGCTTGTGTGTATTTGGATTATTTGGTGATCTTTGGATTCTTGGTTATTATATTTGAATGACTAAAATCAATTGGGTGGTTGTTTAAAAATTTATACAATGGCACCACTTCTGGATGAATTGAAAATGGAACTTTAAAAGTACAAAGAAGAGGCACAAGAAGGGAAGAGTTCTTTTGGCTTCATTTTTCAATTCTTAGAAATGGAGATTTGGAACTATGAGAAACAACAAGAAACGACTGCAAAACAAGAAGACTGGGACAAAGAAGAAGCCATCTTTAATGAACAAGTAATTTTATGTGGGGAAGAAAAAGGAAAGGGGGGAAAGAGAATGGAGAATTTAAGACTTAAAAGAACAACCAAAGAAAAGAAAAATAATTCGAAAAATAAGTATAATACTGGAAAGCAACAGAAAAGGGGAATACAGAAGAGAGAAATAGAGGTAGAGAGACAAAGGGGTAAAAAGGGGAGGGAGAAGAAGAGAGGAAGAAGGAAAGGAAAAGAAGTTACAAAGGTCCGGAGCAAGATATAAAGAAACAGGACCTATTTAGAGATAATGGGTGAAAATTTAACTGAAAGGGGGATTCTGTAAAGGTACATAAGATTGTATTGTTATATTAGTAATAGAAATAACTTTAGAAAATTGGAAACAATGTATGATTAAAATGAGGGATAAAATAGTTAGTGTAATTTAGTGGAATGTTTGTTAATAAAATAAGTGAAATAAAATAAATGAGAAAATTGAATTAGGAAGGAATGGGAATATTTTAATTAGTTAATGTTTTATAAAATATAAGTGAAGAGGGGAGGGGAATTAACTATGGAAAGCTTATAATTGTTCCCATAGAAGTATGATATTTAATTGAAAAGTAATGTTAAAGATGTTAAGACTTTAATGAATATTAATATTAATGATAGAATTGAATTGGAATGGAAAGTTGTTTTAATTGTATACATTTATAATTTTTTCTTTTTTTAAGAATACAGTGTGTATTTTAAGAATATACCAAGCAGAATCCAAATAGAAGTTATGTATTATATTGAATGTTATAACTTTAGGGAAAAGATATAAAGGCGTCATACTCCAATCAGTAACTACAGGAGAAATTTTGTTTAATGAGAAAAGATAATAGATAATTGAAACAGGACAGACAAAAAATATAAATACAATGATTTGAATTGAGATGAGATAATTAAAATAAAACTGAGAAAATTAAAAGAGGGGAGAAGCTATGCAGAAAATGTAAAATAGTAATAAGATATGGAATAGAATATAAAAATGAGCATGAACCTGAATTTGTGTCTGTATGAAGAAATGTAACCTGGGATTACGCTACTTTCAAAAAAGATGTTTTACTTGTATTTTTTTTTCTTTTTGTGAAAACTCAAATAAAATTTACAAAAAAAAAGAAAGAAAGAAATTAAGTATATGCATGATGTATACTAATATTACAATTTATGAATGGGGGTACAGATCTAACAGCAATGGCAGAAAGCCAGCAGCAATGAAAGAACTGTCTAACATAATGTCCTATGAGCCATGGTGGCGCAGTGCTTAGAGTGCAGTACTGCAAGCTATTTCTGCTGACTGCCAGCTGACTGCAATTTGGCAGTTCAAATCTCACCACACTCAAGGTTGACTCATCCTTCCGAGGTCAGTAAAATGAGGACCCAGATTCTTGGGGGTAATATGCCGACTCTGTAAACCACTTAGAGAGGGCTATAAAGCACTGCAAAACAGTATATAAGTCTAAGTGCTTTTGCTATTTCTGATTATTTATCTGCTGAATGTTTATGTGCATGCAAGAGATAGATACGTTTTCAGAAAGACAAGGCACCCACTAACTTTCCCTCTTCTCAAGGCTACTGCTTCCAATTGATAATTTTTTAAAAGCCAATGCCAACTGTCAACTGAATTTTTTTGTTTCCCCTCCTCTCAACTTCATTCTGCTATAGAAGAGGTATTCCTCCAACCAGTTGTTTCTTGGGGCTCACCTACTAAACTTTCTCAGTCAAAATATTTTATGGCAATCTCCTAATCTTTGGAGGTGTCTTTCAAGGATGCAAACTTTCGATCAAATTTTCACTGAACCATCATACTCCATTTACTATTCAGGAACAAAAACTAGTTTAGCTTAGGGTGAGAGTACAAAAATTCAGAAATTGAGGAAAATGACATCAAGATTTTATATTTTATCTAGTACAGTCTACAAAGATTGTGCTTATTCTTTGTATGTCATAAGAAGTTTACAAATTGAAGTCCCTGTAGTCACAATCTGCATCCTTCTTTCAAGTCAATCTTGGGCTTGAAGGGACATGTCCAGTCAGACTTCAAGAAGTGAATTTCCTAAATCCCTTGATAGAATTCCCTGATGAGATTATGCCTTCTTGCATAATTGCATTTTATGGAAGTGCATAAGAGTTGGCACTCCATTCCCTATAATTGTACAATTCATCCACAATTCATCCCTACCTTGATCATACTGAGTTCATATAGTATAAGGCCACTATGAAGCATACTGATATATATCCCAATATTCTAACACTTGTGCTATCACAGTAAATCCGTAGACAACTTATTTCTTTGCTGTAAGCATTAAGAATGTAATTGTCACTCAGTCTCTTGATACAGTAAAGCTATAGGAGACGATCTAATAATCTTTGAAAAAGAGTCTATTCATATATTGAAGAAAATGTCCTGTTTAAAAAATATTAAATTGGCAATATATTATAAAAAGACAACCATTGCGAGATTCTAGTTCTGGAAAGTTTTTAGTAAATGTACTAGCTTGCTAGCTGGTTTTAGAACATTTAGGAAAAGTCAATTTTTTCTAACCTTCACATAATTATCTTAAATGTTTTCAATTATTTTACGCTTGCTATTTACTTAAATTTGTTTGCTTTGTATATTTTGTGTATCTTCCATTTAGAATAACATTCTCATCATTTGGAAACATTATAAAGGTTTCATTTATAATTGTCATTTTCATTCAGGTCTTTAAATATTTTGTGAAAATTTAATTATAAATATATTTTATATTTCATTTATATGTTAATAAATGTTATTATCAGACACGTACATCTTTATCCTGATAAGTTAAGATATTCATTCACAGATACTTAGATAAGGACAGCTGCTAATTCAAACGTATTGCAGTATATGAGTTTTAATTCTATTAAGCCTTAATTGTAGTAGGAAAACATGTGTAGATCTTGTGACAGGACATTTTGAACACTGATTGAAAAACTGGTTGTTTTTAATCTTACTTGCCATGTCACTATAACAACCACTGATGCAAATCACTTATTTCTATACTATTTATGTCATATAAGGTGGAATTAAATGAAGCTGAAAAGGTCATAAGAACAAATTCTCCACAAGAAATTTAAACCTGATAATGTCAAGATGACTCATTTTTTCCTCTGAATACCACTGTTTGCTTTTGAATCATTGAACAATTCATTTGAAAACCCTCTGTTATTTAATTTCTGAAAAAGAATTGTCATATTTGAGCAGAACAGTTTCTTAATACCCCAAATTTGTGTTATAAGTACTAAAATCATAAGAATGTCCTTATAATGTAAGTCCCCTGTCTTGCATAAATCAGTACTGTTCAACAATAAAATCACACAGCTATTTAAAGAGGTCACAAATATATGCTTCTTGCAATACATTTTATACCTCACAAGCTAGGGAAAGAATTTTGGTTGAATGCAGATTCAACCAAATGTCAATTCAATTAAGTTGAATGCAAATTCAACTTAACTCAATGAAACTAACTGCAAATTATCAGCCATGACTACATGACCTATTATAATTTTGGGGGGATTCAGTTTTATTTTCTCCTTTCATTTGACAGAAGTTAGGGATTCTGCATTCCACATGCATTCCATACCGCATTCCAAACATGAACCTTTCCATGCACAGAAATAGCTATTTTTGGGTAGTCAATAACCAACCAAAACTGCATTGAACAAAACTATTTTAATTTTGATAGAAAAGGTATGGGAAGAAGACAAGAAGAAAACAGCAAAGTCATCAGAAGTTGAGGGGAGACACAGGAAAAAGGGAAGTTGCTTAGAAGGTTGGGGAGCTGGTGGGATATGTTGCACTGGACACTGAAGGGGACAGATCATATCAGAATTGAGATTCCACACTTGTTTGTAGCTCACAATACAACAATGACTTTATAATACTAGAAAATGCACTGCACTGTTTGTCCAACACTAAATACAGTGAGAAGAAATCTTCAATCAGCGAGATGCTCAATTATTAGAGATAGTTAGTAATTCTGCACTGAGCAAACGATTGAACTAGATGATATCCTGTATAAGGTCTGTTCAACTCATGCATCCTATGTTTCTACCATCATGTGAGTAAATAAGATGTAGGTTATTTTTTTTGTCTTGAATATAATGAGAAGAATTTACCTGCTGCTCTGTACATTATTTTAGGTTCAAAGAATATGCAAGGGTTTTTATCTTCTATACATGACAATAACAGTCCCTTCGCTTCAATAGGTCCTCTTGGAACAACAATCTTCAAGAAAATGAATACACAAAGAAGTTAGAGATTATCTTGACTAGGAAAAATATCAAGAGCAAAAAAATAAACATTGTTCCAAGGGATAATTTCCTATTTCAAATTATCCCAATAAGACTCAGTGAAAAGATGCCAAATGAATGGAAAAGGCAAATAATTTTATCTGGTTAAATAAATGACCAGGCATTAAAGAGTTGTTAAACTGAATTAGAAAAAGGGAGATTGGTGGCACCAAGTTACATTATCAGGGTAATTACAGTATTCAATCTGGATCATAGACTCAAATAGCACTATATAGATGGATTGCATCTATGGAAGAAGTAGTATATGCATATCTATCTATCTATCTATCTATCTATCTATCTATCTATCTATCTATCTATCTAGTACGTATATCAATCAGCTCCTATTAAAATATGATTCAGAGATCAAACATGTCAATGTCTGTATGATTAAATGGATGCAGAATTTAAGCAGGCTAACTGACATGCAAAAATGGGAATATCAATGAAAATGAAAATCAACTTTTGAATAATATACTTAGAGAAAACAGGTACAAAATGTTCTATTGTTCCAATGATGATTACTAAACTAGATAATGAATATGGAAATAAAATATGAAAATGTATAAAATCAAGATGGAATTATAAATCGTATCTGGCGTCAAAAAACTCAATTGCACTACAAAATAAACTAGTATAGGATGCAACAAGTCGTAAAGGTTGCTTTTCCTTTTCCATTGGTCATTTTTTCATTATTAGCAAACATTATATACTTACAAATTACACTGAGATGATTTTATATATGAAAACTGGTATCAGAAAACTGGTATCAGATTTCTTACTGGAAATCACATCTATTCTTTCATTAGAGGGCAGCTATGGGAACACCAATATGAAAAATAACTTCATATATGAACAAAAAATACCCAAGTCTGATCGTAATTTTAATTTAACAGGGAAATCATTTATGAATTATTCTGGACATAGATTGCCGCCACATCCAATACTTGAGTTTCCTTAAAATAAGGTTTTTCATCTCTTTAACCAGGGTTATTTACTACATAGCTATTATTTAACATAACATTAAAAATAGCTTTGAAGGTATTAAGCTGACACAATATTATATTTGTTGTAATCCAAGTTGATACCCAAGCATAAAACAGAGATTGTTTTTTTCTTCCAAGGGGATTATTTTATAAATACATACATTTAATTTTACTTTGTGATGTATTGTTCTGCAAATTTTCCTGTGTAATATTTGTATCCTATAATTTCCTTGCATCTTTTTAAATATAAAAACATTTTATATGTAACCTTTTATATTTAAGAAGAATTATTAGAACACTCTAAAGATTATCTAATAAATGATTACTCAATACCTTCAGTCCTGGACAGTGAGCAAAGAAGGATTCTGGGGACTGAGAGTGATACAATGCACCATGACCCACACATCCCCAAGGTGCTCTTATTGTAAGGCTTCCACAGTTAAAGAGATCTCCAGAACGGTATCGATACTTTGCTGCCTCATTAACAATCTGAAGGAATATACAAAGATATATTTAAAATTACACATGGTTATAAAGACATATTTATGCAGTTAAAAGCACATGGTTATCAAGACATATTTATGCAGTTAAAAGCACATTCATATTCTACTAGAGCTGTGGTGACGCAGTGGTTAGAATGCAGTACTTCAGGCTACTTCTGCTGACTTCGGCAGTTCGAGTCTCACCGGCTCCAGGTTCACTCAGTCTTCCATCTTTCTGAGATCAATAAAATGAGGACCCAGATGTTGGGGGAAATATGCTGACACTGTAAACTGCTTAGAGAAGGCTGTAAAGCACTGTGAAGTGGTATATAAGTTTAAGTGCTACTGCTATTATAGATTATGCAGCAACAAGAGGCAATTATGCCTCGAATTTGAAATTATGGATACTATCAACAGAAGTGTAAAGAAACTAAAATGAGGTAAAAGCATTATGTGCACAGCTTGGAGTTGTACAAAATAAAGGAAGGGAATCAAAATAATGATAATAATATGCAAATTAGAGCCCTACATGGAAAAAAATGTCAGATGTACAAACTAGATGTAGAAAAGGAACACAAGCCATGGTTTCTGGTGCAATCTGGATAATTGAGAAAGCCAAAGAATATTAAAAAAGAAGTCATTGCTTCATCGATCACAGAAAGTCCTTTAATTGTGTTGATAACATCAAGCTATGGAATGTAGTTAGAAAAAATGGAAATCCCAGAGCATCTCCTTGCCCACTCTTCTGATAGCCAAAAAAATACAAAGGATTTGTAAGAAATATGATAGTGAAAAAAATAGTACTAAAATTAAATATAAAGAAGACCAAACTAACAACAACTGGTAGAACAAAATCAGGATTGACAGAGAAGATACTGAAGTGGAAGATAGCTTTTGTCTTTTAGACTCAACCATCCCAGAAAAGGAACAAGCAGTCAAGAAAAACACTGCTGGCAATTATTCTATACCGCAGTCATGAAGGTCTTGGAAAAAGATACACAGATACCATGATGTGCTTATATCTGCAAAGACCAGAATTGTGCAAGCCATAGTATTTTTTATGACACACTATGGAATGGAAAGTTGGACTTTGAAAAAAGCAGGATAGGAAGAATGTTGAAGTTTTTTAAGGGGAATGCTGAAAATATTGAAAAATCTTGAAAATATTGTATTTATTGTATTGTATCATCCAGAGTCACTTGGTTGAATTGGACGACTATAGAAACTGAATAAATAAATAAAAACCATAAGAACAACAGATCATGAACTAGCATGAAACATGTTATTATGAAAAACATAAGATGAAAACAAATAAAAAAGATGAAAACAAATAAATCCTAGACCATATCAATCCACTCAAGGGAAGGGACAAATAACCAAGCTCACATACAGGTAGTCCTCGACTTGCAACAGTTCAATTAGCGACCTTTGGAAGTTACAATGGCACTGAAAAAAGTGGCTTTATGACCATTTTTAACTCTTATGACCATGGTGGTCACGTGATTTACATTCAGATGCTTGACAACTGACTCACATTTATGACGGTTGCAATGTCCCGCAGTCATGTGGTCCCCTTTTGCGACCTTCTGACAAAGTCAATGGGAAAACTCAATTCACTTAACAACCAGGTTACTATTTTAAGAACTGCAGTGATTCACTTAACAACCGTAGTGAGAAAAGTCATAAAAGGGGGCAAAATTCACTTAACAAATTTCTCACTTAACAACATAAATTTGGGGGTCAATTGTGGTTGGAAGTTGAGGACTACCTGTATTTTAGATACATTACACAAAGGCCTAATTCTCTGAAGAAGTCTGTAAGACTGGGCAATGTAGAAGGAAAAAAGAGGATGACTAGCAGCCAGGTGGATTTCCTCGGTTATAGTGGCAATGAATGCATTGTTGGAAGATATGAAAGATCAGGTCAGGAACAGATCCTCATGAAGAATATCTGTAGATAGTCCTTGACATTTGACCAGTTGCTTAATGATGATTCAAACTTACAACAGCCTCAGAAAGGGTGCTTTGCAGCTTTTAAAGCAATTCCAGCTATCACAGAATACCATACCAACATCATCCCTGCAGTCGCATGATTGTAATCTGGGCGCGTGGCAACTTGTTAGCACTGACAACCAGTTGCCAAATGCTCAGTGATGAGGTGATTGCCATTTGCAATCTTCCCTGCTGGCTTCCCCAGAAAGTTTTCTAGTTTGGCAACCCCCTCTCCCATTTGCAGCCACCTCATGCAGTCCACATGTTCAATGAATCAGCCTAAACATTTGGGGGTGTTAGGTAATGTACATGTTTTTCAGTGAGTTCAGGAATTCACGTATACCTTCTACTGGTATAACTCCATTTAATCAAACAAATATTGTTTCCCACATCAAGCGATTGTTCTAGTTACTAAAGTATTTAGAGACACTTTCTCTTTATTTGAGCCAACAACAAATATAAAATTGATTTTTAAGTCTTGGAAGTTACCTGGGGTTCTCAAATGTGATAATGCAGCTCATTTTATCAAGCAACAGACAATTCCAATCAGAGATGTAGCAGTGCCCAACTATGAGTCTATTGGACCCCTTCCCATTACAAGAAGAAAAATATAGCACTCGTGCTTCTGACATTACTTGTTCTAAAAGCATTACTTCATAAAAGAATTTTATTTTCCTCAAGAGGAACAAATGCAGGATTTTCAACTGTCCATAGCAGAAGTGCCAATTCTCTTTTTGTACGTTAATTGAAACAGCAAGCTCTTATCAACATATTCTCACAACTATTTTTGTTCCTTTTGTAACATACAAAATGGCAAAGATTCTTCAACAATTCTAAATCATATTCATGAAGATCCTTTCAACTGTCACACCTAATCTCTCTCCAGTCACATTATCATTGTTTTAAAAAGATTAATGTAACATCCGTAAATTTCCTTCTAATTTTCGATGTCTTAAAATATGCTCTAACCTGATCAAAGGCGGGGTAAATATAGTCAGCAAACTGGATTTCGGCGATAGCTGTAGCACCAGTGACTGCAATTCCAATGCCAAATCCCACAATTCCTTGTTCACATAAAGGAGTATTGAACACTCTGTCTTTACCTATAAGAGATTTTTATTAATAACTTTTAAATGAATGTATACAAACTAGGAAAAATATTTTAATACATGATATCTGAATGGAATGAAAAGAGCTTACGCCGTTTGTGTTTTTTTAAATTATCCTTTAACTAAAAGTAGAACTAAAAATAGTGTTGGAAAGGGCCATTTTGGCCAGTATCTCCAATCCTCTTTTCTATAGAGGAATCAGAATTAAAACACTTGAGACCGATTGGAAGTCCATTACTTCTCTGGCTAATTGGCACCACCACTGACCTGCTCTTGCAGTCTCAAAGCTTTTTCTAGCTGAAATCTGTCTTCCTGTTACTTAAAACCTTTAATCCATGTTATACACACTGGATTCCATGTACTTCAGACATTTTAAGAGTGGGGTTATATTTCCCTTCAATGTCTTCCCATGGCTAACTATTCATAGCTTTTCTTCTAATCTATGCAATAATAATATCAAGAGTAGATTGCTCTAATTTATTTCATGTAAAACTATGCTAGTGCAGCTAGATTCCTCATAGAACTCCATACCATGCACGTATGAGCAATGTATCATTAACGAGATCTTAAACTTGACACCATATTATTTTCCATATAAGTTATTGTTATATTCTTCTGAGAACACTTCACATACTTCAGTGCCAACACCCATTATATGTAATGATCTCCCCACCTAGGTCAGGTGTACTCCCAATCTAGGCTTGTAATTGTTTTCATCAATAATTAGAACATTTATCAATTATTTATTCAATCAGATTTAGATACCATTCAAAGTGGCTCTGGATGGCAAAATAGTATCCATTTGCAAGGACATTTTCCCTAATTCATGACGGCCATTCCAGTAATTGCTCTAAAGTTATATAAAATTACAATGATGTCCATTTTTTATTATTGCTAATTATGTTTATTTATTGTACAATAGTGAGACCTTTATCAAAATGAAAAACAGTTTTATGAAAATAATAATGTAACATGAGATATGATGAATTATCAAATTGTGAACTTACCAAATTTATCTCTCAAGCCAACAGTACATCTGAAAACACCACCAAAGGATACATCTTCACCAAATATTACTGTGTATATTAGAAATCAAGGAAATAGTTGTTCAGAAAGGAAACTGGATTATTAAAATTGAAAGTCACCTTCATCTAACTTTTTTCTATTTACTGTGTGTGCTTTTCTTTATATAACATTAATTTGATGAGTGATAAGAACCAAGACCTTGCATAAACAATACTGGAGATGAAAGGGACTAGCCAATTTACACAAACCATGAAAGAAATGTCTTTCCATTAAAGCTGTACCTTTTCAACTTACTTTGTTTCCTAATTTTTAGCAACAAAAGCTATCTTCATTTTTTTCCAGCAAATAAAATTATATTAATTTAGCAGCATACAACACTGACATAAGCTTCAAACTTCAAACAGAAACTTTATTTAGGAGCAAATTCAAAGCCTGCATAGAATTGTTTTCCCACCCAAAAATGACATGAGGGAGAAAATATGCGGATTAAGCATCTTCAGAAAAACATAATTAGGTTTGCCTTGTGTAGTAGTGAGTATTCTCAATTGAAGAGGCCCTAAGTAAGTTTCTCTTAAATAGCAAAGCATAAAAACTTACCTGCAGTTGGATCTCTAGATAAGGCATTATCCAAGGCACTTGTTATAGACTGGAAAAGGTTCATTTTTTGTGTCTGGCCTGTGAAAAGATTATTTGGTTAAACAAGGCCAACCACTGAACTGATTGCTAAAATAGCACCATATAAATTGCTAAATAGCTTTATATAAAACACCAAGATCTATTTGGAAAGCTTTAAGACTTGTCAGAATCCAATACTTTCATCTTTTTTTCAATATAGGTATCACTAATGTATGTACTCAATGATTATGTTTGTTGAACAATGAGTAACAATTTGTGGGAATAGGAGGGGAAATCCACAAAAATCCTCCCCTTGGTTGGTTAGCCAGTAAATAAAAATTGTCCCAGATTAAAAGTTTTTTTTAAAGCATCCTTTCCATTTGTTAAAAGATTTTACTGGTTCACCTGTTGCCCACGCTTACAAAATTCTATTATAATTATGATTTAATTCTTTAATTTTTCTGAGATCATAGAATTCTCAAGTCTATGGCTTGGTTAGCACAACTTTTTGTGGTTTACACTTGAATAAGGAGATGAAGGGGAATTTCATCAGAACTAAACAGCCCTCTGCAACACACAGTCTTAGCTGAAAGGATCAGTAATAGATTAAAGTCCTAGACCAGGAATTATGACATTTTAAAAGTGACCTCAATTAGTATATATCATACTAATTGGTCTGGCACAAGATATTTACTTTCACTCCTACTTAAAGGGGGCTTTTCAATATCACCCCTGCTCTTTCTATATTCAAAAGGACAATGAAGGGCAGATCTTTTGTCAAATGAAACATCGACATGCCATGATGAGGACAGCAAATGAACAGACAAGACAGAATGGCATAAGAGTGTAGCTGTCTGTGTTTACAAAGGCAAACACTGCAATACTCTGCAGAAGGGGCCAGACCTCAGGCTAGGAATGAGAAAGTGCATCCACAGGTAGTCCTCAACTTACAATAGTTCATTTAGTGTCAGTTTGAAGTTATAACATCACTTTAAAAAGTGATTTACGACCGTTTTTCACACTTACAACGGTTGTAGCATCCCCATGATTTACATTCGGATGCTTGATAACGGAGTCACATTTATGATGGCTGCAATGTCCCGGAGTCACGTGATCCCCTTTTGTGACCTTCTGACAAGGAAAAGTCAATGTGGAAGCCAGATTCACTTAACAACCAGGTTATTAATTTAACAGCTTTAGTGATTCATTTAACAACTGTAGCAAGAAAAGTCGTCAAGTGGGGCAAAACTCACTTAAGAAATGTCTCACTTAACAACTAAACTAGTGGTGGTTGAGCACTACTACTGGCTGCACTCAACAGTTTCTTCTTCTATAAAATTCTTCACAGAAGTCCTTCATCTCTCTCTCTCTCTCTCCCTCTAACTTTAAATAAGGGAAAGGGACAACCTGCATCATAACTTTCAATAAGGGAAAGGGACAACCTGCATAATAACCAGGCACTTGGTAAGTTGCCATTGGCTTTGGTGTGTTGTCATCCCACACAATTTCCCACACAATCATAGCTTGTGTGTACTATACCAAATCAGTGGCTGCATCTGCACAGGTGATGGACACTTCGTTTTAGGCTGCAAGTGGAGGAGGAGGAAGTGCTTTCTGACTCGCCTGCAGGACTTTTTTACAGGCACCAAACAACACAGCGGGGTCGCCGTTTTCATAAAAGACCCCGCCTTAGCCTATTGCGCCCCAAAGGCTTTCGAAAAAGCCAGTCTCCCGTTTGCAGGTATGCCAGTTTCCCCATCCCACCATCTCAGCCAGATGGGGGGGGGGGGGGGAGTCAGAGCAAAGGGAGTTGGAGGAAACGGACTCCCTCCGACTCCGGCAAAGGAGTGCAAAGGGGTCGGAAGGCAGAGGAGCGGCGTCCGCTCCCAACGACGGTAGCACGGACCCGGGGCCGAAGACGATTAAAATGCTCACCATATTGGGTGGGCTCCGGGTCCGGCTGGAAAGCGAAATGGGCCGCGCGCCTGCGGGGTGGAGACCCCGTAGCCAGACAGAGCCGAAGAGCGGAGACCGCCGCTCTCCGGAACCCAAGACCGGCGAGCGCCATTTCGACCACCGCGTGGGGGGGTCGGGGGGGCGGGTCCTGTCCCAGGGACTAGCGCGAGCACGTTGCGGAGGAGGCGGGGACCTACGCCTGCTCCTCTCATTGGTAGCGGCGCCAATGGTAAACAAACCAATCGGAGCCCTGCCAGCTGGGGCGGTGCGTTTTTTTCTTTTTTAAGGAGCGGAGCCTTCCTTTTCGGACGAGCGACGCTTTATTTTACGCGTGCGCAGAGGGCGAGCGTTGATACGCCGATGGGCTAAAACCCAGTTGGTTGAGAGAGGAGTGTGAATGCTTGGGCGGAGCTTCTTGTAGGGGAAAGAATATGTTGTAGATGTACACTTCTGGTTCGAGTTTGGTAGGTAGTGGTTGCGGTAGTATAAGGTCGTAAAGACGGCATGCTTTCCTTTGCCGGGGGACTATGGAAAAAGCAAGCGTCATACTCCGATGTTGTGGGGTTCGCAGCACCTTGGTAGGAATGACGTGGCCCTTCCAATCGCCCTATCCGAAAGGGAAGGCAAATTGAGCATCCTGCCCACACGCTTTTTATTTTTCTTGGTGACTTAAATCTACCTCATATTAACTGGACCCTTAATGAATGTACAACTGAACCCACGCATGCAACCTTCTACAATGCAGTAACAAATCTGGGACTAGAATAACTAGTAACCAACAACACTAGAGTTAACAACTGCCTCGATCTCATCTTCTGCAACAGTTTGAATTCAATTTATGGAATACAAATTAAAGAACCCTTTTCCAACAGTGACCATAACATGATTGACTTTTGTCTCAACATATGTCCATACAAAAATCATCACGACGGAATCCCCAATTATAACTTCAAAAAAGGCGACTATGATCTTATAAACAACGATCTCTCATTCCTTGATTGGCAATTTCTATTCTCTGGATGCAATACTGTAGAAGATCATGACAACATATTTTTACTTGAAGTCAAAAGAGTCATCAAACTATATGTACCAATAACAACTCCCAAAACCAGAAAAAACAAATTACCCAAAACTATAAGGAAGCTTCAATCCAAAAAGAAATCACTTTGGCGGAAAAACAAATCTGGTCACGTTGCCAACTTTAAAAGCCGATACAAAAATTTGAATGCAAAACTGAATAAAAACTGAATGCACCAATTATCAGATTAAACAAGAAGAAAACCTTCTACGCATCAATTCCACCCGCGCTTTTTACAATTTTGTAAACAACAAACTAAAAGACACAAGGTCCATCCCACCCCTGATAGGACCTAATGGTAAAGACTGCAACGACGACACCATTAAAGCCAACATCTTTAACACATTCTTTGGCTTAGTATTTGTAAACAGCAATGGATCATGCCCAGTATTTCCTAGCCGAAGCACAGAAAACTACAATGATCTAATACATATCAATTTTACAGAAGACATTGTTGAAAAAGCACTGCTCAATCTAAAACCATCTCTATCTATTGGACCGGATGGAATATGTGCCTACTTCTTAAAAAAGCTACCCACTGCCATAGCCGAACCTCTAAGCATAATCTTTGAAAAATCTTTCAGGACCAGCTCCTTGCCAAAACTATGGTCACAAGCCACGGTCATCCCCATCTTCAAAAAGAGAGACCCCAGCCTAGTTGAAAATTACAGACCAATCTCTTTATGCTGCATCACCTGTAAAGTCATGGAATCAATTATTAACCAATCCATCATCATCCACTTAGAAACAAACAACCTACTAATAAACAATTTGGTTTTAGGAAAAAACTATCCTGTAATCTGCAACTCTTACACGACAAAAACATATGGACTACACAACTCAATCAGGTCAAAGCAATAGACACAATCTACATAGACTTCTGTAATGCCTTTGATTCAGTGATACACGACAAACTACTCCTAAAACTAAAATCTTATGGTATTTCTGGACACCTGCATAACTGGATAGAAGCATTCCTGTCAAACAGACAGCAAATGGTCAAAATTGGGAGTGTCCTATCAAATTCTGTACCCGTCAATAGTGGTGTCCCCCAAGGCAGTGTTCTAGGACCAACTCTTTTCATACTCTACATAAATGACCTCTGTGACCATATCAAGAGCAACTGCGTTCTCTTTGCTGATGATGTAAAGCTATTCAACACCACAGACAATACTGCTACCCTTCAAAAAGACCTCGACTATGTATCAGAATGGTCAAACAAATGGCAACTTCAAATCTCAACAAATAAATGCTCTGTCTTACATATGGGCAAAAAAAAACCCAGAAAATAAAATACAGGCTGAATAGTCAAGACCTTGTTGATGATCCAAACTCTGTCAAGGATCTTGGAGTACTCATCTCTAATGATCTAAGTGCTAGAGCCCACTGTAACTACATAGCCAAAAAGGCATTAAGAGTTGTTAACCTAATCTTACGTAGCTTTTTCTCTGTAATATTACACTAATAACTAGAGCATACAAAACATTTGCCAGATCAATACTCGAATACAGCTCATCAGTCTGGAACCCACATTACGTATCTGATATTAACACAGTTGAGAAAGTCCAGAAATATTTCAGAAGAAGAGTTCTCCACTCCTCTACTCGTTGCAGAATACCTTATGCCACCAGACTCAAAATTCTAGACCTAGAAAACCTAGAACTACGCTGCCTTCGGTCCGATCTAAGTATAGTATATAAAATCATACATTGCAATGTCCTACCTGTCAATGAATACTTCAGCTTCAACCAGAACAACACTAGAGCACACAATAGATACAAACTCAAGGTTAATCGCACCAAACTTGATTGCAGGAAATACGACTTCAGCAACAGAGTGGTCAATGTCTGGAATACTCTACCTGACTCTGTGGTTTTTTCCCCAAACCCCAAAAACTTTAACCTTAGACTGTCTACTATTGACCTCACCCCTTTCCTAAGAGGTCTGTAGGGAGCGTGCGTAAGTGCCTACTGTCCCTGTCCTATTGTTTCTTTTATTTTTCTTATATGTATCCATGTATTCATAACTATGTTTTTACTAATATCTATTATCTTGTAAGCAATTGACAAATAAAAATAAATAAATAAAATAAATAAATAAATGATCTTCACAAATTGTCTTGGTCTTAAAAGCACAGACACACACACACAAAAGGGTTGATTTAATTGTACCGTGCATGGAAAATATTCTTTAGAATACAAAGAAAAGAGCGAATCTTCCCAGAGCGGAGCATGTGCTTTTCATGCAAAAGGTGTCAAACTCTGGAGAAAAGGAGAAAACCCTGATGGCCAGTCATGGCTTGGTCAATTCTGTGAGCTGCGTTTGGGTTACTGCAATGTGTAGATTCACATTGCCACGTGTGTGTTTGTTGTGTAATATAATCCAGGCAATGTGTTGGTGCAGATCTTGGATGGTGATCCAGTTTACTTTGCTATATACTTTAATTATATGCTTATGCTGTACTTATAAGTATATGCTAACCTAATCCCATGACTAGGTTACCCATGGTTTACAACTGGGTTCACACTGAATATCAAGCCATAAACTAGTGACACACAGCAACTTCTACAACAAACTGCAATGATGCCAGAAATATATGTGCAATGTTGTCATCAGGTAAATGCCACCTTTACATACGGTACTTGTGTTCTGACATCTTACATAAATCATTGCATTTATATAAAAATGTATTTTCTCATCCCCCCTTGTCCATGGGATTGAATGATGTGTTAAATTAAAGCAGGGCATGGTTAATCTGCATAGCATGTAATTGTTGGAGAAGTAAATAGAGTAATTATTAATTGCTACAGAGGCTGATAAGAGACGTATAATACCTAGACCAAAGTAACGTTGTAATTTTGGAAGATGGGATCGGGATTGCATTATTGGTTTAAATAACCTAGATTAGTTGTCAAATTTCTACACTGCTCATCTCATTTATGGGTGACTGGTTTATAAATAAAAACAATTAAAAACAAAAGTTAAAAATTAAGGGGGTAAAAATGTTAAAGAGGAAGGAATGCACTCCAGTGACCCATCCACTTCCCTCAGGGTTGCCTATCATTCCTAGAGTCCCATGCCAATTGGCAGTGCCAGATCTTTACCCTCTTCTGGAACTCCATTCTTGTCCCAGCTTTAAAGGAAATAATCAACACCGTGACTGGCACTTAATGCAGTTCATGCAGCAGAGAAGTTATATGCACAACCCCAGGAGCGCTCAAAAGTGCTTACGCCACCGCATTCTATACCAGTTGCAGCTCCCAGATACTCTTCAAGGATTGCTCCATGAAGAGCGTATTCCACTTATCCATACAGAAGATGATGAGGACAAGAGTGGCTGAAAGAAGGGCTCCAGAGAAGGGTGTAACAGGCACACAACATGAAATTGAACAAAGGTCCTCTTAGCAATAATTGCCATCTTCTCCAGCAGGAGTTGTGAGTCCATGAAGAGTCCAGATTACACATCAGGTTCATCTGGGCAGCACAACCCCATTCAGGAACAAAGATGGTAAGCCCCCAGATACAGGAGATCCATTATTCTTCCATTGCACAGATTATTTCTTGTGGTAAAATCACAGCCCAGACCACTTTTGTTATCCTGTGTTATTCGATACTAAAGAAATATCTCAACCATTCTCTTCTCCATGCTATTTACCTCTATATGAAACCTCTAGAAGAGATCATAGGCCAGCTTGCAGTGAGATATCATCAGCACACTTGATTCACTTTTCAATACATCCCCATATTGATATTAATATATTATACCTAACCCACAGAAATAAAGGTAGAAGTTTAACAAAGGTAGAAGTCAAGATGTTGAAGAAGAAAAGTATGTATTGGGTGATTATGTAAAAGACAGCTGAAAAATGATTTGTAAGTTAAAATTGCAACGTATTCATCTTTTATTTCCTATACATTTCATATCAAAATAATGTAATAAAAATACAAACAAAATACTGGCAAGGAAAAGCCAGTATTTGGTCAATTTCTACAAAAGATTGAGGGGATAAAGATTGATAAAGATTGATAAAGATAAAACTTGGCTTACAACTAGAGCATTAAAAAGAAAAAAAGAAACTGAAGGCTTGATTTTGACTGCCCCAGAGCAAGCTATTCAAACTAAGGCAATC